CTGCTGGTGGGCCAGTGGAGTGGGTGATCAGCGCCCTCTTCTCGGTGCCATACCTCTCTCTACAGCAGCGCCCGTCGAGAGGTGAGTACTCCATTCCCTTCCAATTCCATGATGCTATTTGCGGGGCGATGCTCAGCCCATAAGACCGCTGGAAGATGAAGCGGCTGACAGGTGTCTGTCTCATGGCTGCATCTGCTTCATTGATTGACTTGACGATTCCGGACGGCTAAAGTCATTCGTCCGTAAGTGAGTGATGTTTTTGGCTCGGGAGTAGCGATGATCCTTCCTCCGCTGGTTGGTGGAAGCCTGTACTCCGGGTAGCTGGGTTTTCCCTAAACAACCAAGTACTTCACCAGGGGGCTGACACTATTCTGATAAGCTCTAGCTCACCGGTCTTGCCGGCACGGAGGGGTAATTGTAGTGCATGTAAGTGCAAGGTTGTAATCGACGGAGTGGAAAAGACAAGGAATGGAAGGAAAGGTCACTCGCGATCGGTGGTCCCATTTGGAAGGGAATATGTCTCTCAGCATCTCCTCGTATTGATCGAAGAAACTCAGAAAACTACCGATCATAGCAGCCGGTTTCTAGAATTTTCTAGCATCCGCAAAATAACTAACAACGTGAGGCGCTGCGATTCACTGCGAAATCGTGGCTAATTACAAAGACGCGGCGTCTCCCGATAGCAAGATTTAAAGAACTTCACCTAGTATCTAGCTAGTGTTGAGAATCCTGCCACGCGTCGGATGCAAACCTAGACTGTTCGTCAAAGGCACGCAGTGACATCAAGTTGAGCCCTGAACACCTTCCTCGGTCTGCGTCGCTCTTTCACTTGACCACGTGAATCACTACGCTCCTTTAGTCGTCGGCAGAGAAAAGGGTATATTTCAAATATAATTATATTATATTTGAATATTTCAAATATGAAGGCCTGAGAGTTCGCGCAGTCGATCCTCAATATCCATGTACTGAAATCCTCTGTGATAATTTTTCTCTAGAGTATTTGGGAAGAAACAACAATACTTATCCAGTGCATTTTCGTCATTAGAGAAAACAGGCCATTGCTTTATGTTTGGTTTAAGGGAAAGGGAGGAAGGGAAAGTCGGAGATTAAGACAAGATTCGTAAATAAGGATGATGGTTTCTGCGCTTGGTACCTGGGTTGGCATAAAATTTATAGTTTTCTCCATTTCTAAATGCGCTGCAAGCTAGCCGCGCGCGCCGCCCTGGGCAGAGACAAGTGACAGCCGCGATGCAAACACACGGGTGAGCTGCTCCAGCATGTTCGCAGACAGCTCGGACACCTCGTTTGAAAATCCAGACCAAACGCTGGCTGCCATGCTGCATAGCAAGCGAAAAGTGTTGAGAAACATTTTGAAAGTGGCGTAAAGCGACAATTTGTAACGAAAAATAGCACGTTGCAGTTGATATTAAAATAAAAGAAGCAATATTTAAAAAAAAAGCTTCTTATATGTGTCGCAGTGGCTCGTAACAAAGTGATGTGTATGTAACATGTAACATGTTCACATGATGTGTATGTAACATGTACAACGTACTTGTAACATGTTCTGCGCAGGACCAGACAGCTCGGGCACCACGTTTGAAAATCCAGACCAAACGCTGGTTGCCATGCTGCATAGCAAGCGAAAAGTGTTGAGAAACATAAAACAAAAATTGGCGTAAAGCGACAATTTGTAACGAAAAATAGCACGATGAAGTTGAAATTGAAATAAAAGAAGCAATATTTAAAAAAAAAAGCTTCTTAAATGTGTCGCAGTGGCTTGTAACAAAGTGATGTGTATGTAACATGTACAACGTACTTGTAACATGTTCTGCGCAGGACCAGACAGCTCGGGCACCACGTTTGAAATGCCAGTCCAGACGCTGGCTGCCATGCTGCATAGCATGCGAGATGTGTTGAGAAACATTTTGAAAGTGGCGTAAAGCGACAATTTGTAACGAAAAATAACCCGATGAACGTGAAATTGAAATAAAACATATTTTAGATTGAAATAAAAGATAATATTTTTAAAAAGATTCATATCTGTCGTAATGGCTTGTAACAAAGTGATATTTTTGGTTTGTGGCTGTATTTGAAATTCCCGCAAACTGGTACATGAAGCTCATTGAGTGATGCCGGATAGCCTACATAATATCTCATTCATATACTTTCATCATTGTGATAGCCACATTCGAAGACGGAACACTTGATTAACGCAACATTTGATCAAAGCAGTTATGAACCTGGGTCATTATAACGACTGAGGGGTGAGAGATAGGGAAACAGTTCAATTGCCTTTGGTTCAAACAGTTTGACTTTTTATATTTTTAGAATTAATAATACCCATGAATAACACATAATTTGTTTTTAAAGCTTAACTGATTACGAATTCCATTTTAAAACTTTATTTAATTTAATTTCAAATCTACTTTAATGATTGGTTGACGTGATGAAATGTATTTTTTTCGCATTACGCACTTTTCGTTTCAAAACGCTCCTTTCTTCTTTTCGCAACTGTTGAAGAATGCCCCCTTATGTAATTCTAAAGATAACATTTTGTATTCCAAATGAATAACGTTGTATTTTAGTATATATTGCAAAACACTTGTTATGCGAATTGGAAAGATATAAAATAATTAGTATGTTCATGTTCTTTTTAGATCTATGATCCTGAAATGTTCGATGAAAAAAATGCATTTTCATATCATTAACATAATCATGTATGTTTTAAACCGGAAGTTAAGGATTAACATGTTTTATTTTAGTGAAAACTAAAATAACGAGCCTTAAAATCAATAATCAGTTTTGTCTTAGTGACCTTGGATAGTGTTTTCTCATAATTAGTTTTAATGCTGGTAATTACATGTTTCGTCAGAGGAGAATGCACAACAGCTGATCGCTACACTTAAGTGTTCGCTTCAAAGTTGTGCAGTTAGATACAAATCACGGCTGCTGGTATTTGGAAACTTCTGGGTTTCAAATCCCATATGATAACTGTGATTAAAAATAGGATTTAAACCCTACATCTGATAATCATCAGACTGAAGAAACTTATGGTTATGAGTAAATGCCCTCATCTCGTCTACTGCAGTTCATTAGACCTCGACGACCCACCATCGTAGTTCACTAATGTTTTGATACTGATTGGTAATAATTTAATGCAGTCAGGTTAAATAAATATTTTTCCATTTCATTGATTACTTTTTGAAAGAGCAGTTCACTCTCTAATTACCCAGGGGCACCCAGTCTGAAGGCCCTCTTAGATGGTTCGCGTGCACGCTTTCCACGGGGCAACCCCGGGTTCGATTCCCGACCAAGGCAGATTATAACTTTGCGCTTTTCTTAAAAATGTCCCAGTATCTATTGCTGTGTGTGACGATGAGATAGCCCACCCTTGGGTTAGGAAGACCAGTATATATGGTGGAGGGATGTCTTCGTGCTAACCACACGAACCCCTTATCCCATGGTTCAGTGGCTGGGTCACCGCTGGCCGGCCGAGGCCCGTAGCAGACTGTCGAGCCAAGAACAGGGCAGGACCCAACGCGCAGTGCGGGCATGGCGGGCCCCGGGAGTACTCACAGCTGCCAGAGAAGTTCATGGGGTGGGTGATGGCGTCGTAGCGATCGATGCTAAGCGCCACCAGCACGTAGGTGGACGAGTAGGTGACGACAGCCTGCAACACAACCGTTCAACACCTCTCTACCTCTCTGAAATATTTTTATTTATTTCCCGTAATAAACATCGTATATGAATAACATGCTTAGGTCACACGAAAACAAACGTTCTATTTATAATACGATCAAGATGATAGGTACACGGGTGAGTTATTTCAAGTGAAACTATTGGCGCTGAACAGCACATACTTTCTCGCTCGTACTTTCACGTAAAAAGGAGTCAAATTTTCGAAATATTGTACATGGCTTTATTTCAAAATCTGTCTTTAACATACAGATTTCATTAAGAGAGAAATCTTTAATATTGTATTTGTAGGATTCTAGGAAGATGCCGAAAACACTTTTGAATTTTTGCAATTTTCGAAAAATAAGTTTTCAAGAAACATGAGATCTGCACCATTATGTTAAACGTCTCTGTTCAATCTGTCCAACAATAAAAATTTACTCAAAAATGATGAAGCCATTTTTTGAAATCTATGAAAATGTTCCAAGGGCCTCCCAAAATTAAAATATCGCTTTCAAAATAAAAGGCCCACGACATCAGCTAAATCGATTGGGGAACACCAATTTTGAAGAAAATCGGCTGAACGGTTTCGCCGCTGGCTGTGTTCACAGACGGACGGACAGACAGACGTTTTTCTGTCATTCAATTTTTCGTTATGAAGGAACCACAAAACATGGATTCTGGCTACACCAGGTGTTAGAATATTTTTTTTCTAAGTTTAGCAATATGATTTTTCGACTTTTTTGCTACTTCGGCCCTTTAATAAGAGTTTTTCTGGTAAGAATTCGCTGTTTTTCGTGTATAAATTTGAGTTGTAGCACCACATATTTGTAATTATCGAATTTTGTCACAGCGGTGAAATTAACGGTAAATCCGTCGGCAGGATTTTCACAAAAACTAAATTACCCAATCCATCTGGCTGATAGCGTCGTCTCTTGAACTTGAAACAGATTTCTTGATTTATATGTCAAGCCTGAAGGACATTTTCAAAGTAAAAAAAAAAAGATCTGAAGTTATTTTTTAATCCCCCCGCCCCCGATTAGAGCAAAATACACTTAAAAACAGTGCTGGTGTAATTTTTGTTGAACTCCGAATTGTCAATAATTGTGAAACTTTCAAATAATGCGAGAAAATATGATATATTGTAGTCACTAGATCATTGTTCACCGTGAGTTTCGTGGAGCAATATTACTGTTTAGAAATTGTAACAAGTAGTTCCCTTAAGCCTGGGCCACTCCGCTGGAATTCGGCTGGCGGCGCATGCGCGGAGCCACCGCCGGCAGGCCACCTATACTTTTGTTTTTATAGCGTGTCGCGTCAGGGCCAGTCTTCACGACGGAATATCTCACGGCATTTCGCGTCATTCTCACTCGTGCCGCGAGATGTAAACCACGCATAAAGGCGACCGTATCAAGCAGTGCAATGTGTCTAATGGCATCTAGCCGCACGACCGAGAATGACGAGAAATGCCGTGAGATATTCCATAGTGAAGACAGGCCCTGACGCGCCACGTAATAAAAGCTGTAGTATAACCACCTGTAGTAAACCTGAAGTATATTCAACCGGTAGGGGTGAGCCACTCCTTCATGTGTCTGCACTATGCACCCGGTCCTTTAAGTGCGCCGTTTGGTAGTTGTGGCAGGAATAGTGCTGGGGATGTAGGTTGCTATTTTTTTGCCATTCTATGGATTTCAATATGTACTTCCTTTTACCAATGCAAACAAGTTTCCTTGAACTATGGAGCGAATATTTCTAGTTTTCAAATGTTGCCAACTTCGTTTCATAATTTAACAACGTATAGGTTAAGTATCGGGAAGGGTTTCCGGAGGTGATGAAAAGTTTCATAGATTATACTTCTCCCTCAAGCGTTAAATATAGTTTATACTGTTTTGTGACGAAAATAAACCAAGTCAAACCAAAATAGCTTTCTGAAGTTTATGAAAAACGCGCACAATATCAATCACCAGAGAAGACGAATTGAAGGAACCGACATACTCGTACAGAGCTCGCTTACCTGCAGGAAGCGAATGACCTTGCAGGCGGCATTTCCTGCATTCCAGGCGATGGTATGACGCCAAACGATGTCGGTGAGCACACTGATCAGCCCCACCGACAAATCTGTCAACACAAAATAGACATGCGTGTGCACACAAACATTGATTTTATTCTACAGTCATTACGACAAATTATTGTAGTGATTTGTTCCATGTTGGATGGCTCGCCCCAATCGACAACAGCCCTTTCTTAAAGCTTCAGCCAAGATAGGAATCAGCATGTATTCGACGAATGAATCGATTCTACTATCTATAAATGAACAATATGAAAATATTTCTGTGATTGTCATTCGCATTATATAGTATTGACGGACTAATGATATGTCCTGTCCGTTCTTTGCTAGTAAAATGAGTGAGTTATTACGAGACGAGATCGAGTACTTTGAAGAACTTTAACTTAGCAAATCTGCCAAGGAAAGTATTCTACAAATGTACTGTTGTTTCGGGAATATTTTGTTGAATATATGTCACTATATATTTATTATTTTTTTTATACTAAGTCAAGTGACAAAAGCTTTTTCTTACTTATTGGTTAGTACAAAATAAGTTAAATTTGTATGAAACGGAGGCAGTATTTAGTGTTTCCGAATAAAAAAGGTCCAGGTTTTTATACTATAAAAGTGTACAAAAACATCTAAGACAAAAGAAAGCTTCCGCGAAAACAAAATAAAAAAAAGTTGAAAAACATCTCACATTCGGCAAAGAGAAAGGGAACGGCAGACGCTCGGCCTCGTATACAGAGGCGCGTGGGTCGCTGTCTCGAACAAAAGGCCCAGCGGGTAATACAGTACGCGTCACAAAGACTTTCGAAACAGCCAGCCCGGTTCGGCAGAGAAAACTCAACAAAAGAACTGTAGAAGCGGTAATATCAAAGCTAGCGATGGCAAAGGACGGGAATTGCGGACAAAATGTAGCATATACTATTACAAAGAAAATGGCGCACGTTTAAACACGTGAGGCGAATGCAGTTCGCTTCCAGTTAAGTGCCACAATTATTTTCTCCTCGCGTTCGGCCCAGCTGCTAATTGCGTCCCTCGCTCCCTCGTCCCCCGCCCCGCCCTTCCGCAAAGACGTTTAGACGTTACTGAAAGAAAAGAGGCGGGCGCTTAGGTTTAAATTAATTCATTTACTTTTGAATTGCTGTTTGGTTGCAAATTTTACTTACCCGCCGCTAGTCGTGAACCCTGTTGAGACGAGTTTACTCTTACTGGGCCCTAATATCAGAGAACTACAGCTAGTGGTGCTCCAACAGCACATGCTAACTCGCAGTATTATCGTTATGTACGACGGGGCGCTTTCATTAATTACAAACAGAAATTAAACAATTTAAAAAATCGTACATGACCTTTTAAAGAGCTAATTTTGTATAATATACTTGTCTGAGGGAAAATATGTCTTCAATTTTTTAGTTAAAAGGTGTTTTGCCATTTTCTTTTTACCAATTTTGAAAAACCGAGCAATAATTGAAAATGGGACTAGCACCATATTTTTTATCGTCCCTTATTACATAGGTGAAGAAAGTTTAAAGAAAAAGTTTGGAGTGTTTTTTGACAAAACTAATTTCCGTACATTTCAAACGCAAATTACGCAAAAACCACTCGTTCTTTTTCAAATAAATGTATATGACTTTTTTAAAATAACTAATTTTGTTAATCAGACTTTGTCTGAGGCAAACATTCCTATCTTTATTTTGTAGTTTTGAAAATTATTTTTCGAAACTTCCTTCTTTTTGAAAATGTCTGCCGGGCTTCATGTAAAACACCCCCAAGAACATTGTAAAGCTTCAAATTGCAAACTATTACACTTACTTGAATGCAATGAAGCATTACGCGCGAGTGCTGGAGTGTTAACATGACGTCTACAGCAGTAGCATGAAACAAAATCAATGCATTAAATCTCCTGTTGCAAACTCCTTCTGGGACATCATTACTAGTTCGGATTGATATGAGCTCTTATTGGATTTGGAACTAGATCAACATCAGAGAAGATCTCCTTGTGGTCCTAGAAGAGTCAGATTTATTAGTCAGTCAATTAACTGATAGATTATGAATTGGTTGAGCTTATACAACCTATGGAAGTGGAACTTGTAGAATCTGATGCATGCTCTGTATCTCTCCCTGAATCTGACTGAGCCCGGGTAAGTTGAACGTTCGCGTGGTTCTAGGATATCCAATTCACGACATAGAATAATAATAATAATAATAATAATAATAATACTAATAATAATAATAATAATAATAATAATAATAAACGAAACTGGAAACACATAAAATGCTTAACCCTTAAACACTCAATCATGATTTTAAATACAATAATTTGGAGATTTAAGACCATTTTAAGGGTGATTGCAAATGGAAAGGCCACTCCAAAAGGATGAATTAATATGAATTTGAACTAAGTTTAACGAAATGCGGTTCTTCCAAAGTAGGGTAATAATACTAAGCCGTCAAACAACACAGAAACACATGTGTCAACTAGTAACAACACAATACTGTGAGTTTCACAGTTTTCCATATTCCGGTTCTCTTCCAGATCCATTTATTACATTACATCGCTCGCGCGCCACTGGTGCCCTCGCGATCGTTTCTCGCATCACTGGCGCCGCTGCGCGCTAACATCGTTCTCGCTCGGGCCGTCGTATCACAAATGGCATAGTCGCCACCACCACTATCGGCGATCTGGGCTTCGACTGCCCTCATTACCGCGTCTGCTTGCGCCGCCCGCGCCCACCCGTATTGCCCCGCGTCGCCCCGCGTCGTTCACATCGTCATCGTCGCCCTCGCCACCCCGTTCCGTCCAGTACCATCCCGTCTCCACAAGCTCAGCCCCGCAACGCCCAGCCTCGCCCCGTCCATCCCCGCCCTGCCCCCCCCCGCCCCGCCCCGTCCCGATGTTTTCCTCGCGTCCGGCTCGTCCATCACGTCCCGTCCGCGTCCCGTACCCGAACCCGAACCTGACCCGACCCGACCCGACCCGAACCCGACCCGACCCGCCCGACCCGCCCCACCGCACCGCCTCGCCCCGTCCATCCCTGCCAGGCCCCGCTCTCCGCCCCTCGGCGTCCCGCCGTCGTCGTCCGCCCCCGCGTCCGTCCCGTCGCTCCCGTCCGCCGTCGCTCCCGTCGTCCTCGCTGCCGCGCGTCCTCCGACCGACCCCCCGACCCGCACCCACCGACCCGACCGATCCCGACCCGACCACGACCCCGGATCTCCCGACCCCGACCTAGCCCCGCCCTACCCAGCCGCCCACCTCCGCCCAGCCCCGCTCGTCCCGCCGACGGTCCCGCGCGCCGCGCGGCATATAATCTCGCAGCTGCGAACAGCGTCCGCGGAGTGGCAGCGCTTGAGCGGTCGCTGACAAATGATTAACGAGGATCGGATGGCGCGCGCGGCGACGTGTGCGGCCCCTTCCAGCGCTCCCGCCGCTAATGACCCTCGGATGAACGCGGCGAAAGCTTGTCGCGCTCGCGCCCGCGCGCGTCAATCAGGCAGGCGGCGATGCGCGCTTTCTTGGTTGTCTCTGCCCCTCGCGGTCATCGGTACCGATAAGGTGAGCGCAAAGTATCGAGTTGATGCACTCTACGAAGTTTCCTGATCGGAGGTCTAAGAGTTCTCCACTCCCTGTGAAGAGACGCTGGATTTTGCGAGCTGTATACTACAGTCACTGGATGCGAACCTCAGCCCTGTTTGGAGGAAATTCGGCCATGCTACTGTCGTATCGCTGTCTCGCTGACGCTCTGAGCGGATAGTTTCGGCTATACCGACAGACATCAGTGATCGGAGCCCAGCAAGGAACTTCTAATTACGGCACGTACTCTTCACATCTTTCTTCATTTCTATACCTCATCTTACACACACACACACACACACAGACATTACACCTGCACTACCGCACACGTGTTGGAGACCAGAAAGCTTAGAGCTTGTCGAAATGGGGGCGTGTCCCGCGGTTGTGGTACCCGAATGTTTTGTCAGCGTTTAGTTTTCTCCATTACTTTTCAAAATTGTATGTCATAATATTCCAAAGTGTTCTGCTATTCTACACCGCTCTAAATGAAGACCAACGTAGAAATCGATTGACAGTGAATTGATTTATGAAACACAACGAATGCTAATGAAACAAAACGGTTTTAGACTAGCACATGTGCTCGCATACAGACAAGTGAAACCACAACTCGTTTCAATCCTCGAAGAGCGGCGCCCTACTCAGTAGAAAAATGTACATTCTATTACCATCAGATTCTGCTCGGTTCCACCTCGCTATGTACTGCAATCCGCTACCGCCAAGATGTTCTAGTGTTGTATTAGTTCCGCACGGTGCAGGGTTTCGTCAACAGCTACATAGCTGGGCGTTCCCAGTTCACCTCTGTCTGGAAGAAGAATTCACTGTCGAAAATCTGCCACCTCGCGAACTCGAAACGCAGCGCGCGTCTCCCGGTCAGAGCCACTCAGTGATACATCAGTTGATGCCTAATCAACATTTTTGGGTGTTGGTCGGAGAGAACCCGCCTAGCGGACGTTAGGAGGCTCCGAGGTTCCCACAACCCTATGGGGAAATAATCACCGCCGAGAAAACGCACTAGACTATAGGGGCAACTAATTGATCTTAATTAGTAACTACATGAACACAATATAAATCAAATAACAGATGAAACACATGATTATGCCGCCGTAACGACACTTCATAATTTCGGGACTCATTAGGAGCCGTACATTAACATACGTTAACGCAAAGTTGCGAGTATTTTGCATGACCCCCTCTGCCCCTATAACGCCACCGTAACGCTGCGCATTGACCCAACCTATAATAGCACGCTCCACATTCCCAATAATTAAACTAATTTACAACGTAAATATATGACTAGTATATTCATTTGATACATTACATTTGATTAATAGTGCGATTAATGGGTGCACTACACATAACAACATTAGGGGACAATTAATTCTAATGAAATAAGGACGCATAGGCGAGAAATTTTAACAAGTCGCACACATACCTCAGTTGGTGACCAAAGGCTCTGAAGCTGCTGCAGCCACATATTGCATTCTGGTACTTACTATAGAT